AGAGGAGTCAGTTGCACGTCGTGATACTTCTGATGTCACTTCAGTTCAGTCAAGTGAAGATTTATTATTTTTTGATGAAGTGGCTGATCTAAATTCGGCTACGGCCGAAGTTGTTGCTGTTGTTAAAGAACATAGCTTACTGGATGACGATCCTCCTCGCATAAAGGAAGTATGTGCCTTTGATGCTTTCTCTTTAAAACAGTCAAGTCTTCCACTACCTGTTTCTGAAATTGTCGCTGAAAAAACGGATTCAGGTAGGGTTTATAATAGTTTTTTGATTGCTTTACCGCCTCCTAACTTTTTGAGGTGGAAAAGGAATTTGCTTAAATTTGTGGTTTTCAAACATTGCTGGGCTTGATTATGTAGGCAAATTTTAGGTTTTTCATTTTTTATTCTACCTTAGAAGTTAGACGTTCAGTTGCTGGTTCAGTGAATGTTTGCTTTCTGAGTTTTAAAGTCAAGATCAGTTTATATCCTGTTTTTATACTATAGGTCTTGCTTCCCTTCTCTCTTTTGCAGACATCACTGGCTTACTCTCAATTCTGTCATCATTTTGAGCAGATCCACTTCTTTAAGGATTTTGAAAATGAATTTTCTTGTTGCTTTTGCTTAATTTGTAGTCAGATTTCGTAAAGGACCTTGGAAAGCTTAGAAGTGGTTGGAAGGGGTATAAAGAGTAGTACTGGACAAGTGCAATATTTTCTGCTCTCTTAATTTAGTGTCTCGGGCTACTGACTTGAAAACTAATTGCTTATTTTGTCGAACTTTTGTATTAACATTTTCCAAGGCTCTGGATCGTTTCAGGTTTGTTAGATTTGGAGAAAATTTCGCCGTTAAAAAATGTGGACACTGTCACAGTAAGTTGTTTTAGTTGCTTACTCTCCGCAGTTTTTGCCTACTGTAATTGTTTTTTAGAACAAATGCTTAATTACTTTTAAATTTTATGATGCAATATGTGTTTCTCCAAGAACGGATTCGAGAAAGCAAAGCAAGATTATATTAAATACGAGTTCTTCGGAATTGAATTCGTCCTCGACACTTAACCGTTCACCCGTTCCACCTCGTTCGCCATCTCCCGTTTCCACACGTTTCACTACTTCAGTACCGAAGAGTAGTCCAAGAAGTCCAGTGCGTATATTGTCTTCTTGAAGTGTAACTCATTTCCGGTTATTACTTTCCTACAATTTAAGGTGAAACGAATTTCAAAAGTAACATCCAGTCTTACTGATGAAATTATGGCGAAGATGATGGACGACTCTTTGGATCATATGGTTCCTATTTTGGAAGCTAAAAAACACAGTTTTATTGAAAATGAAGCGAATTCTCCACCTCGAAGCGAAGTTGCTGAACAGTCTTTAGAGAGCAACTCATTTTTAGGCAACGCAAGCTTCGATTTAAATAAAATTTCTGCTGTAAGTTGCTTATAACTGCGTCTTGTTTTAGCTCCACAGAAACTGGTTGGAAAGACGGTGTTTGTGAACCTTGAAAAGCAGTATTCTTCGTCAGCGTATACGATATTTTTTAGCTTAAATTTTTTTTAGCCTGCTGACGCTCTAGATGTTTCATCCTTTGACTCGAGTGAAGCTGGTGTCTCAGGAAAGAACCATGAGTCTAAAGAGGCACTACCTGAATTCACGGGTAAAGGAAAGCAGGATTTACTGTCAGATCTGAAATTGGAAGTGGAGAAGTCCTTGTCGTCTCTTGCAGAGTCGTCAATTGCATCAGCTTCAGAAAAGTTCTCCTATCTTTCTGTTTTACTTTTGTCTTTTCTTTTTTGCGAGCAAGAACGGGTTTGGGAATTAGACTTCTAAAATTTGGTGTTTTCCAGTTATGCGTTGAGTAAAGACGCTCTGGAGTCCCTTATTGAACAGTTCAGCCTTCAGCTTTGGACCCAGGCAGAAAATGAGGCTCTCTTTAAAATTGTTGTGAAACAAGAAGGTGAAGAAGCTCGGAACTGTACCGCGTATAAGTAAGTTGATTTCAGTTTGAGCTGGTAAAATTAGTTACGATATTTTGGGCGCCTTAAGCCAAAAGCATTTAGTTTTATCTAGTAATAGTGCTACTTGTCTTATATGTTCACTGCCGTATTACTGTTAATTTCAGGCAGTTAATTGCTGATCGTTGCTGTGAAATAGCTGGAAAGATTTTCCAGAAACAAGCCTTTAATGGGTGTACTCAGTTAAGTAGACTTGGCCTAAGTCGGCCAGAGAGTTCTAAACAGCTGAATGTAATACTGGGTCGAGAAATTATAGGTCGCATCTTCTCAGGTTTTAGCTCTTTCTCTCTTTTACACTTTTTGGTTTTTACTACTTATGGGTGTTATTTGGTGAGGGTCTATTAAGTGAGATTATTCTAGGCTAAGTGGAAATGAGTCATGCGTCTGCATAGATGAGAGGGTTATTGAAGTGAGGGTTTGAAACTCTGATTTGGGTCGAGGAAGCATCGCTTTTAGACGCTTTTTAGACGCTTTCACTATTTAAAGGTTTTTAGACGACAGTATCAGTGTGTTATGTTTGTGTTGAAAAGCGGTAAAGGGGCTAGTCTTGGCGATTATGTTGGCTTCTTGTGGGAGGTCAAAGGAACTTTATAGCGAGAGTATTAGGGAATGGGAAATCTTGAGATGTTAGAAATGTGAGCCATAAATTTATAATGCAACACGGTTACTTTTGCCTCTGCTTACAGAGGTAACATCAAAAAGCTGGAAACATAAATTTTGTTTTCTTACGTTGTAGTAATTTGTGGAAAATTTTTTTTTTTGCTGACTGAAGTTTGCTATTGCGTAACATTTGAAGTGGAGATGCTAACTGATTTTTTGTTATGCGGCGCTTTTCTGTTCAAATTCTCAAGTTCAACATCTCGCTTTTGTTAGGTTTTATTTAAGTCAAAGTGTACGCTGTCTGGATATAATTTGGTAAGAAGCGAGGTTTTTCTGAAGCGTTTGCAGTTTGTTAAACCGGATAATATTCCACATGAAACTGCTTCTGTTTGGTTATATTCTTTCGTTAAAAAAACTGCAGCTTCTCCTGCTGATTTCTTTTTGTTTCTTTTTTTCTCTTCTCTGGTTCCATTCGTTTTGAAATATTTTTCGCCTAAAACTAAGAAATAGACCGTTGCTGCTATTAGTCATTTAATCATTATTTGCCTGGGAAAACTGGGTTATTGTTGAAAATTCAGTAAAAAAATTTTTTCTTACCTATTTACTATTTGATAGAGTTATCTAGTTTACCTCTACTTTTTAATTTAAAAATTTTCGCTTTCTTAGTTCTTCTACTATTTGAATGCACTTCGTCAATTTGAATTTTTCTGGCTTCATCGCACTGCCTTCCCTATCTTGCTCTTTCCTCCTTCTCTTCTTATGGAATTTCTTTAAATTCTGTTGTAAAGCACTAGTTAGGGGTGAGCAAGAATAAAAGTTCATCGGACAAGTCTATCTGAAAACCGAGGACTTTAAAAAAAATGTTGTAAATATAACATTTTATCAGGTAGAACTTTTTCTGCATTATTTATTGCCTGTTTAGACAATGTCGAGGAGAAAACAAAGATTGAAACAACGAATGAATTTGAAAAAAGTTTATTTAACACTTTTTTCTTAGAATTCTGAATTCGGAAGAGGAGGGAAGAAGTTGCATTGTTCAGTCTTTTCACTAAAGTGAGCACTTGGTGCCATTATGAAGAATTAATTTGAGAGGCGGGGAAAGGCAGGGAGCAACTCTTTTATTAAGTGTGGTCGCAAGATAGCCTAATTTTCGGCTCACTTTGGTAATATTGAAATTAAGTAGATATTTTATCTATGATTAATTAACAGGGGACCAACAGCGCACGAAGAAACGTTGGGAAACAGTCGCTCGAAATCTCACCTCGGTAGAGGAGTTTATTTTAGTCGACGAACTGTATAATGATCAGGATCGTTGGAGGGATATGGAACAAGAAGAGGAAGAGGTTATTGAAGAAATTTCCGAGCAGATAGCTGCTTCTCAGCTTAATGATGCGTTTGAATGTATTCCCCTGCAAAAGCGCGCTTCTCTGTGATCGCCATCTGAAACTTCCTTATTATCTTGCGTACGGTTGTGCGGGTGTACTACTTGATGTCTCTTATATCATTGTTTAAAGTATTTTTTTAATGTTTTTTGTGTTTTTCTGAAAATCTGTTCACTTGTTGCTTAGCCAATTTTTATATTACCATACAAAACTCTCACTCAGTCTTATAGTCAGT